ATAACAAATTTTAATATGGGAAGCTTAATTTTCTAAAACGTAATTTTACAAATTTTAAAATGGAAAGCTTAAGTTCAAAGGTAATTTCTAAAACGTAATTTTTAACAAGTTCAAACGTTTTTACAAAACAAGAAAACAAAAATAAACCACATTACTTTATTGTGATAACAAATTTTAATATGGGAAGCTTAAGTTTCTAAAGCGTAATTTTTAACAAATTTTAAAATGGACATCTGAGGAAGTTTTTATGAGATCATGGTTTGCAGAAAAGTTTAGGTAAATTGATTTGATTATTTATGTTATCAAAGTATATTATTTTTTCGGTTAAGTATCATGAGAGAATTCCACGATTAAGCGTGTTTAAACTGGAGTAGTATCAGGATGGATGACCTTCAAATAAATGATTGTCGGAACTGTGTGAGTAAAGACAAAACACAAGGAAAGAGCATATGGTGATTTGTAGGATCGGTAAATAAGTTTTTAAAGTCTCCCAGATATAACAAATTGGTCGTCAAATATGGGTGGGCACATGAACCTAGTGAGAGGACTTAAGGCTCATTAAGAAAAGTAGGTCTATGGACTATGAGTGAACATGAAACCCACTGGGAAAAATGATGGCCGGGGCGTTACAATTTTCGCTTCCTTGATTTTTATTAATGATACCCATATTTAAATGAAATTTAAAAGAAATGACACATGTCACAAGAAGAGATGTCATGTATCAGCCTCTTAAGAACATGAGTTTGGAGAAAAGAGATATTATTATTTATATAATTTTAAAAAGTTATATTTTGTAAACTTTTTTGCGAACATTAATATTATTAACTCTATTAACTATGAAAATTTATCATTATTATTTGTAATATTGTTATAAGATTATTTAATAAAATTTATCCAAATTTTAATACAATATTAATAAAAACTTATATTATAAAATACTACATTTGTTTTCTTCCTTTTTAACAGATATTGCATATTTAATTAATTTTCAGAAATATTAATTTATTTGCTCTGTATTTAACCAAAAAACATTGAAGGGTATTTATTTGTCAAAGTTATTATTTGTGTCACCTTTTGTCAAAGATATGTTATGATATATGTCCAAGACTTAATTATCAGCATGTCTTATATATAAATATTATGTATTTTACTTCTTTTCTTACAAATATTACCTTGTTAAATAATTTTCAGAAATTTATTATTTGATTTGCTCTATATTAAAAGCCCACAATCTGTGAGAGATAAATTACTCTTTTTTTTGTCAAAGATATGCTATGATTTTGGGACCTTATGACAAATTTTGGATGCTCAATAATTATATTAGCATGTGTTTCACTTTGATGGATTAGTCCAAGAAAAAAAAAGATCCACTTTTTAGTGATATATATATATATATATAGGTTGATGAGCATAGTTTGTAATCACATTCTTCTTCCAAATCTTCTAGTTTTTCGAAAAATGGTTTGCTTTTTTTTATTCTCAGTAAATCTATTGAACAAAATCTAACTTTCGTATGTCATTATTTAATGAATTCACTAAAGCTCTAGTTTTATTTCATTTGTTTGTAGTCAAAGATGATTCTATTCAAGTATGCTGCTTGCTCCAAAAAAAAATGGGGGAACGCATACGTATGCGTGTCTTCTTTTCCAGGTACACTTTTTTCAAGATTATATTGAACTAAGTTAAACCAATTGTTGTAGATAAATCATAATTTGATCGCAAACAATTTATTTAATCTTACAAATTTTGGATGGTTGTCATCTTTTTATTGTTAGGTGTCGATAAGGTATGTAATCATCATGTGCGAAACATGTTTGCTGTGAAGGGAGACAATATTGATGAAACAACTACTGAACAAATTGAAGAAGATCCTTACAACTGTCGAAATAGTTGATAATCCGGCACCCAAAAGTTCTCTTCCAGAATGGTGGTAAAATAATGGAATAAATTAAAATTACAATAAAATAAAATAAATAATGGCGTCAAAAATAAAATAAAATAATAATGATAATGGTGTCTATTTATGATTAGGTATTATGTCGAACAGTTACTATTTTGTCGAAAAGTTTGGACTTGAATGCAAGTAAAAAAAATATATAAACTATATTAACATTCTTATAATCCTTTTGTTCAAAAAGATTTTCCTTAGATTGGATACATCTTTTCTTATTAGTATTCGTTTCCTTGGTCGAAGTACGTCTAAATTTTGGAAATATCTCAGAAGACAGAATGAAGTGAAAAATTAAATGTACATTGGCAAAATATGTGTTCATCCATATGGTTTGGCAAATGGTCACAGTCAAAAGAGGCTGAAACATGCTTTGTGTAAACATAAGCGCAAATAGAATTGAGAGAAGACATAGTGGTTGGTATATAACTTATGATAATACAACTGTACATACACCATGCAAGCAAGATTTTTGAGAACCACCATGCAAGCAAGATTTTAGAAGTGTCTGATTCCGCTAATTTTTTTGCGAGACTCTGGTTTTCGAAGATGTTTAAATGAATTGATTTGATCATCTATGTCACCAAAGTGCATTTATAATTTTCATCAAAAGTCCCAAAGTAACTCTATAGTTAATGGTGTTTATGCTGGAGTAGTAAAAAAATAGGTGACCTTCCGATAAGTGGTTATCGAAACTATGTGAATGACGCCAAAACATAGGGAAATATCATGTGCTGATTTGTAAGATCGGTAAATAAATATTTTTAAACCTCTCGGACGTAGCAAATTGGCCGTCATATATAGATGTGCTCATGGTCCTAGTGAAAGGATATGAGGCTCATTAAGAGAGGTAGACCCTTGAGCTGATAATGAACATTGACCCACTAGGTGAGATGACGGTCGGAACGTTACATTTTGACACCGGAAGGTGGACCTCCAATGAAGTTTCTGTACTTCCTACATTTTTACCAATGATAACCACATTATCCTTCCATGAACCGTGTATTTGATATTTATAAATATATTTATGGTTCTTTTAGAAAAAAAAAGTGATATATATATATATATATGTATATATTGTTTATATACTTTTTCAAAAAAACTGGCGTCCATCTAAATATTATTTAATAAAACATAATTTTTACTTGTGATATTGTTATTACATTATTTAATAGCATTTATCCAAAGTTTTCTATAATCTTGAAAATTATAATAAATATAAGATTTGTTTTTCTTCTTTTCTTACATGTATTGTCTTTTTAAATATTTTCAGAAATGTATTACTTTATTTTCTCTATAGTAAAACAATAAATTTGAGGGATAAATGCATTTTATTTTCAAAGATATGTTATAACATATGTCGAACACTTAATTATTGTATTATCATGTTTGATATATAAATATTGGACTTTTAATTTTCTTCTATTCTTACATGTATTCATTGTTAAATAATTTGTAGAAATTTATTAATTTATTTTGCTATATTAAATTAAAAACATTGAGGGATAGATGATATATTATGATTTTGAGAAAGGATGGAATATCTTAGAAAATTAATTATTATATTACCCTGTTTATATAATAAATACTATATTCGTTTTGCAAAACAAAATTAATGTTTATAAGAAAGAGATTTAAAGTCATAAGAAATTAATGTTACACAAAAGAAAAATCTTTACCAATAGTACACAATTGAAGTAATTGTGGTTTTTTGAAGAAATTATATTTGTTTGGTGAGAAAATATTAAAAAGTTTAATTGCTTTTATAGAGGTAAGTATATACAATCTTTTTTCTTTTAGGATTAATAATTGGTTGTATAATTTCCTTAATTATTGTGTTATGTTAATTGATCGTGTAATTTACTTAAACCCTTCTATTATCTTTTCTTGTAAAATTCCTTTCTTTTTTTTAACACGAAAATTAGATGCTTATAAGTTTTTTTTTTACATATTGCAGAATCTCTAATCGATAAACTTGACAAGTGTCACGATCACATTAGTTGAACCAAATTTTATATAATCATATATCACCTTGTTAAATAATTTCAATTTATTTTCTTCATATTAAAGCAAGCAATCTTTGAGAGATAAATGTTCTTTAATTGATTATGACATATGTTGGATGCTTAATTATTATATTAGCATGTGTTACACTTTAATGGATTATTTCCAAATATAAAAGATCCATTCTTAGTGGTATATATATAGAGGTTTATGAGCATTGTTTGTAATCATATTCTTCTCCATCATCTTCTCTTCTAAGTTCTCTACCAAAAAAAAAAAATCTTCTCTTCTAAGTTTTACTTCCGAATATTCTAGTTTTTGAATAATGGTTTGTTATTTTTCTTAGTAAGCATATGAAAAAAACATATGTATTATGTCAAACTTCCTTATGTCATTATATATTAATTTCACACAAGCTCAAGGTTTATTTCATATTTTTGTAGTCAAAGACGACTGTATTCAAGTATGCCAAGTGTCCCGAAAAAGAATGGCGGAAAGGATTCCGATGTGCGGCTAGTTTTCCAGGTACACCTACGTAAACACTCACCTAACGATTAGACTGAAATAAATCGTTGCAGATAATTTATTTAAACTTACACATTTGGAACAATGTGAATGATTGTCATCTTTTTTTTTTGTTAGGGGTTAATACTATAAGTTGTCATGTGCCAAACATGTTTGGAATAAAAGGAGAAATTGATGAAGAAAAACTACTGATCGAATTGTCAAAAATTCTTAAATCTGTCGAAATCATTGATCATTCGAAATATCCCAAAGATCATTTTTTTCTTCCTATCTGTAAATAGTTTAGGATAATAGTATAAAATAAAGTCGTTTACAAAAAAAATATATATATATAGTATAAAATAAAGTATAATAATGGGATTTATTTAAAAGGAAAAACAAAATATTGGGGTTTATTTTTGTTTTCTTATTTTGTAAACAAGTTTGGACTTCTTCATATACTTTGCTAATATATGTG